CATGCAGACTGATTTCCAAAACATGACTCGTTCTGAGTCAATTTTTACTATATAAATTAATTAATAACATTAAGAGTGATTCCCTAAACAGATGACTCTTTTGAGCCAGTTTACACTAGATGAGGAATCAAAAACAATTAAAGTATTCCCAAAATAAATGACTCCTTCTGAGACCATTCTTACTATATAAATGAATCAAAAATATCCAGACTGATTCATAAAACAAATTATTCTTCTGAGGCAGTTCCTATTATATAAATGAACCAAATACATTCAGACTGATTCACAAAACAAATGATTCTTCTAAGGTTGTTCCTATTATATAAATGAACCAAATACATTCAGAGTGATTCACAAAACAAATGACTCTTCTCATGCAATTCTTACTACTTAAATGAATCAAAAACATCCAGAGTGATTCCCAAAACAAATGACTCATTCTGACACCATTTATAATATATAAATGAATCAAAAACATCTAAACTGATTCATGAAACAAATGACTCTTCTAAGACCACTCTTACTAGTTAAATGAATCAAAAGAATCCATACCGATTCCCAAAACAAATGACTTCTTCTGAGACCATTCTTGCTATATAAATGAATCAAAAACATCCAGACTGATTCACAAAACAAATGATTCTTCTAAGGCAGTCCCTATTATATAAATGAACCAAATACATTCAGAGTGATTCAGAAAACAAATGACTCTTCTCATGCAATTCTTACTACTTAAATGAATCAAAAACATTCATAGTGATTCCCAAAACAAATGACTCATTCTGACACCATTTTACTACATAAATGAATCAAAAACATCTAAACTGATTCATGAAACAAATGACTCTACTGAAACAGCTCTTACTAGTTAAATGAATCAAAAGCATCCAGACTGTTTCCCAAAACAAATGACTTTTCTGAAACAGTTCCTAATAAATAAATGAATCAAACTATACCTAAATGAATCAAAAACATCCTGAGAGTGATTAACGCAACAAATGATTCCTTCTGAGCCAGTTCTTACTATGTAAATAGATCAAAAGCATCCAAAGTGATTTCCAAGACAAATTGTTTTTAGTCAGTTCTTACTATATAAATGATTCAGTGATTCTCAAAACAAATTACACTTTTGAGATCATTCTATTTATATAAATGAATCAAAATTATTCAGAGTGAATCACAAAACATATGACTCTTCTAAGAGAGTCTTAATGAATCAAAAGCATCCAGAGTGATTCCCAATACAAATGACCCTTAAAAGCCAGTTCATACTACATAAATGATGAATCAAAAACATCTTGAGCAATTCACAAAACAAATGACTCTTCTGAGCCAGTTCTTCCTATATAAATGAACCAAAAACTTCCAGAGTCATTCACAAAACAAATGATTCTTCTGAAGCAGTTCTTACTGTATAAATGAACCAAAACATCATGAGAGTGATTTACACAACAATAATTCTTTCTGAGCCAGTTCTTACAACATTAATGATTCAAAAACATCCAGAGTGATTCACAAAACAAATGACTCTTTCTGAGACAGGTCTTAATATACAAATAAATCAAAAATACCCAGATTGATTCACAAGACCCTTCTTACAAGGTAAATTAATCAAAGACATCCAGACTGATTTCCAAAACAAATGATTCCTTTTGAGTCGGTTCTTACTATATAAATATATCAAAAACATGCAAAGTGATTCACAGACAAATGACTCCTCCTAAGGCAGTTCTCACTACTTCAATGAACCAAAAACATCCAGAGTGATTCTCAAAACAAATGACTCCTTCTAAGCCAGTTCTTACAGTACTATATAAATGAATCAAAAACATCCAGAGTATTCACAAGACAAATGACTCCTCCTGAGGCAGTTCTTATTATATAAATAAATTAATTCAGACTGATTCACAAACCAAACAATTCCATCTGAGTCGTTCTCACTACCTAAATGAATCATAAATATCCAGAGCGATTCACAAAACAAATGAATCTTCTGAGTCAGTTCTTACTACTGTATATAAATGAATCAAAAACACCAAGACTGATTCACAAAACAAATGATTCCTTCTGAGCCAGCTCTGATTACAAAACGAATCAAAAGCATCCAGAGTGATTCAAAAAAAACAAATGACTCTTCTAATTCAGTTCTTACTACATGCTGTAAATGAATAAAAAACATCCAGTCTGATTCCCAAAACAAATGACTCTCATGAGACAGTTCTCAAATCAGTCTGAAACACTGTACATTTAAATTCGCAGCATATGCTAATGTACTCCAATTGAGATTACAACAATTTAAACAAATCAGAAATTAATCAAATGTAAACAGCAAAAGGGAAAAGGAATCAAATGACAACATCTGGTTTAATTATCATATTTTCATGCATTGTTTTCTATTTTACTGTGATGTACTGTGATGTAAAGTAGCCTTTGCAAAGACGCGTAATGGAGATTGATTGAATCGAGTCTCTTACCTGTATGTTGTCAAAGGAGGATTTATTTGTCACATCATAAAGCAGCAAAAGAGCTGAAAAGAGAGAAAAGAGAATTATTACATACTGTATTCATGAATTAACTAAATGATCAGAGCTGACAGCTTATAATAACTACAAAAATAAATCCAGAAAACTGTTAGCATGGCACTGTAACTGTAAGCTTGTTTATATTTCAAGTTAATTGTTGTAATTAAAGTCACAGACATGATTTTGATTAGAAATATTGATCAGTAATACAATTCTTACCTCTCAGACAAATTTAATTCGATTTTTTAATAGTTACATGCAAATAGTTTCAATTGCATGTAGATGAGACACAAATTATCAGAGCTGAAGCATAATGAGAATTACGGATATTTTATTATAGAAGTTTTTAAAAAATATTTGTGTAAATAGAATAAAATGATGTGTAATGATGATCATCTTCAAACTACATCATTATTCATTCATTCATTCATTTTCTTTTCGGCTTAGTCCCTTTATTAATCAGGGGTCGCCACAGTGTAATGAACCGCCTACTTATCCAGTATATGTTTTACGCAGCGGATGCCCCTCCAGCTGCAACCGATCATTGGGAAAAATACAAACTCATTCACACACATGCACTATGGACAATTTAGCTCACCCATGAACTGCATCATTATATTTAATAATAATAAATTAACGTACTGAAATTGTGCCGATAGCTTTTAAAGGTTGCCAGGAATTATTGTCAATAGAAATAAAATAAAAGAGAATTAAATATATTATTATATAATTATATTATTGTATAAAAATATATTCTTAAATATAACACTAAACTAAAAATAAAAATAAAACAAACTTGAAAAAAATTATTTAAAAAACATATAAATACTAAAAAAATAAAGATAATATTAAACATAACAATATAATAATAATAATAATAATAATAATAATAATAATAATAATAATAATAATAATAATAATAATAATGATAAACTAAATAATAAACATTTTAATACAAAATATATTTAAAAAAGTCTAAAATAATTTATAAAATATTTTACATATTTTACAAACTATTTATATAATAAGGTTAATTTAAAACTAAAAGAAATACAACGAAACATAAAATAAAACTAAAAGGTATAAAAAAAAGGTATATTAAAAATATACCTTTAAAAAATGACTAATACTAATAAAAATAATAATAATGATTAACATAATACATATAATTAGATAACAAAGTAATAAACATTGATAATAAACAAATATTGTATAATTTATATATACATTAAAATATTAAAAATATTGAAATAATTTATAAATTATAATTGAGGTTAATTAAAATCTAAAATAAATACAATTAACCTAAAAAATACAAA